GAGCAATTCCTTTAAAAAAATTCAACATAGAATTACTATATGACCCAGCAATTCCACTTGTAGGTATATACCCAAAAGACAGGAAGGCAAGGACTCAAACAGATAACTATGCACTCATGCTCACTGGCAGCTTTATTCATAATAGCCAAAAGGTGGAAACAACCCAACTGTCCATTGACATATAAATAAGATGTACCACACACATACACATGGAGTATTATTTAAACTTTAAAAAGAAGAGAATTCCAACCCATGCTCTCATACAGATGAACTTTGAAGACATTATGCTAGGTGAGATAAGCCAATTAGAAAGGGCCAAATGTTGTAGGAGTCCACTTACATGGCTTCCTAGAACAGGCAAATCCATAGATATGGAAAGTAAAATGGTAGTTGCTAGGTTCTGACGGGGAGAGGGGAATGGGGAGTTGGTGTTTACTGGGTCCAGAGTTTCACTCTGGCATGATGAGAAAGTTCTGGAGATAGATGGTGGGGATAGTTGCACAACAATGTGATAAAATTGATGCCACTGAACTGTATGCTTAAAAATGATTAAAATGGTCAATTTCATGTTATGTATATCTTACCATAATAAAATAAGAATTGGAGTAGATGGGAAGATCACATGTGACCAGGAACCGAAGTCCTCAGTGAATGTGGGGGGACTACTCAGGAAGTTGTAGATAGCAATGGCGGGACAGAAAGGGTGGTAGGGGTGGGTGGCAGGCGTGTTCCTCAAAGGAGCAGGATTTTTTGCAAAAGGAAAGAGGAGTAGTGGCTCGAAGGTGGCATTGGCAAGCACGGAGAACACCTACCCCACGTGCAGGTCTTGAAGGTCTTGAGTTTTGAGCATGAAAAAAAAACCCAACTTCCATTTGAGAGGGCTGGTGGGCAAGTGATGTACTCAAGGAATAAATCAGACCTTCATTGGGAGAGGAGGTGAAGGGTACTTTCAGAGAAGAAATTGTCAACATCGGAGAATTTGCTGTGCTCCAGAGGGCAAAATGGAAGGGTTGGAAGGGACAAGAGTGGCATTAGTGTACAAATAGACCACTGTGGGGAGCAGAGTCTGGGTTCTGAGGGGTTACCAGAGGTGAGTGGACATCTTTCTGGTGATGACTGAAATTAACAGGCACGTGGGGCCTTATGAGCTGAGTCTCCCTTAGGGGAGGGTGGACTCAGAGGTGTATGGGAAGTCAGTTCTGAGGACTGGGTCTCACAATGTGTCCCCTCTGATGAGGTGACTCAAGGGAGGCTGCTTTGACAAGACAACACAGGGACGCATCTCCATTCACTTGCATAGAAGCAGTCTGCGGAAGCCTCCCACCCCGTCTCCTCGTTGCCTGCTGGGCATCTGCTCAGTCCACAGGTTCTTGGCAGAAAAGGTGTAGGAGGGGCACCTGGGTGGGTCAGTAGGTTGAGCGTCAGACTGTTGATTTCGGCTCAGGTCATGAACTCAAGGTTCATGGGTTTGAGCCCCCGTGTCAAATCCCACATCCCTGTTTGGGATTCTCTCTCTCCCTGTCTCTCTGACCCTTACCCACATGCATGTGCATGCTCTCTCTCTCTCTCAAAATAAATAAATAAACTTAAAAAAAGAAAAGAAAAGAAACGATGTAGGAAGATTAGCCCTGGAGTCCCACAGACGTGGGTTAACATTATGGTCCCACCACAGTGTGTACAGGTATATGTCCTGGAACAAGTTGCTTAATCTCTCCTCCTAAATCTCAGTTTCCTTGTCTGTAAAGTGTCAGTAATACTGCCTCCTTAGAGGTTGTTGGAGAGTGCCTGGTGCATAGTGAGTCCTCAGTAAATGGCGGCTGTTGTTTTCTGCACTGTCCGCTCTTTCTTCGTGTTCCTCGCCTTAGTCCCAGATGTCTTGCGTACTCAGGCTGTCCTTCTGCTGACCAAACTCTTCAGTAGGGCTAAGTAGTGCCTAATCTATCCAGATCTTTCTCTCCTTTTCCCTAATGCAACCTTACTTGTCTTACTTCATATCCATTTAGAGCCTTCCCTATTTTCTTCTGGGATAAATTGGATTCAGCCAGTGAGTCCTTTGTTGGCATGACTTTATGTGTCCTTTTTCCAAGAAAGCATTTGTATTCTAACTGGGGCCTTCAATGACATAACCCAATGGAATAAAAGCACCTCAGTCCTCCCTCCTGATTGTGGCCTTCCCATTGTCTGAGAATAGTGATCTTTAAGATCCTTGTTTCTCCAAGTGTGGTCTGCGGACCGACAGCATGGGCACCACCCTGGAATTTGCTAGAATCTCAGACCCTACTCCAGACCTACTGCATCAGAATCATTCTAGCAATGCCCCTAGGTGATTCGTATGCACATTCGAATTTGAGCTGCATTGCTGGAGTAAGAAGCAGCTAGCCAAAGCAAGGGCTCCTTTACAAGAAGAGTTTGTGTCCAAGCTCCTTACAAGAGGACTCCCAGAGCAGCTGCTTCAGAGCCTCAGGGATGGGGCTCCCATCCCCAACACCAGGAATAGATGGCATCTCCTGGGGGCCCAGCTGCCATGCTGGATCTCTGGAGCGTCTGGGAGAGTCAGGCTCCTGTGATTGGAATCAGACAGCTAATTGGCCCCACAAAGCTCCAAATCCTGCCAGTTGTGAGAGGAGGGACAAGACTCCCCAAGGAGCCAACCAAACAAAGAAAAGGGAGCTAAAGGCAAGGAGGGATGGAGAACTAAAAGCTGATGCCTGGGAATCTAGCTGTTACATTTCTATCTTCCTGCCCAGAAGTGTCAGGGAAAGAGCATTAGCTCAGAATCAATCCATCTTCTCAGTTCTCTTGTCCTTTAGCCACGTCCTGCCTAGCAACAGTTGACAGTAGGAACTCCAGCTACCAGTCTCTCTCTGGATGGCAGGAGGGATCTGTTTAGCCCACAGAGGAACTGGTGTCAGGGCGTCCACAGAGAGCCAAGTCAGCTGATAGTTGGACCAGGAAAAGAGCTGCCTGGGAAATGAGGGGACAGAGTCCATCGTGGGGTGGCCTCTTGCCGGCAAGAAGTTGCTGGGGGAAGGGCCTGGGTTTGGTGTGAAGCCGGTGAAGTTTATCTGCAGCTCCCTTCCCCTTGCTCCTCCGGCCACCCCGAAAGAGGCTACCAGTAATATCACCACCTCTACATCTGCATGATGCGTTTAACCTTCCAAAGTGCTTCTGTAGCCATTATCTCATTTCATTCTCCCAGCAACGCTGAGTGAACAGGATCAGAGACATGTTAATTAGGACGTGGGCGGGCCTTCCAGACTCAGCCAGGACGTGGGGTGCTGCTGGCCACGGGCTTGGGCCAGCCCTGTGGTGAAGACTGAACAGGGAGAGGGTCCAGAACCCTGAGTGGCTGTGGGTGGGGGTGCCAGGATTGTGGGCCCCCTCCGAGAGATTTGGTTCCAGCTGGGCTGCTAATGTGCTTAGCCTCCATGGGTCACTTAGCCTGGAGGCTGGGAAGGAGGAGGAGCAGTCACCAAGCCTATTTGGCAGGATAGTTAGAGACTGGGAGGAGATAATGGATGTGAAAGCACCTTTTCTCAGATGAGGTAATGGGTGTAAAAATGAAAAGAACCACTTGACTATAAAGTGTCGTTATTGTTAGGCAGAAGAGAAAGGCGAGGCTTTTACCCAGGTCACTAGAGTGGGGTGCAGGGACACGTTTAGAGGCCTTGGGCACAAAGGGATCAGAATAAAGGCATTGCATGTGCAGGGGCAAACAACAGAACATAGCAGGTCTCAGAAACAAAGCTGGGGCGGGGGAGGGCCACAAGCTCTGGCTGCTTCATCATTTTGCCCAGGGTTGCCCTGTTCGAGGGACCAAAACCCAAACATCTTTCAAAGGTAAATTGCCTTTTTCCCCCCAGGAGGGAAGTCACGTGCTCCGTGGACAGCTGAGCTCCCCTCTTCTGTCACTGGTTGCCTGCATTGTCACTCCTACGTCTCCAGGCACTTAGCAATTTCAGAGAGACTGAGCTCTAGTCACTGAAAGATGCAAACCCCAGGAGGGAAGGGACAACTTCCATTTGCATTGTAAAATGGCCTTCTGGGCTGTTAACGGAGGTGTGTCTTCCCTGACCAGAGACACTTGGGAAGGCGCAGGTGAGGAAAGGGCTGCTTGCAGATTCAGGGGAGGATCTAGTTAGGGACAGTTAGCTCAGCTCAGTTAGGGACAGGCCGGGGACGAATGTGTTTTAGACATACCCAGAGACACTTCTGCGGTTGTAGGAGAAGCCGTTGGGTTCCTTGGGGAAACATGGAGGCGCCTGTGGACAGAGCTCAGCATCTTGTCTCCCTTCCCATCACTGCCCTTTCCTGGCCATCCAGCACACTTCCTGCCTCCTCCATGGGGCTCTCTGTGGCTTCTCTACCCCCTTCTCTGAACACACAAGTTAGACCTTAATTATGGACTTTCTATGGTATTCTCAGTTACCACTCTAATTGTTCAGAGTTCATCTCTCTTTCCTCCCCACGCTAGATTGGAAGCTCTTTGAGGGCAGAAGAGACCTGTAACTCCTGTGTCCCTCGAAGCTCTGAGTAGGCACTCAATAAATACTTGTTGATGGATTCACATGAGTCAAAACAGTAAAGCAAAAACACTTGTGTCACAAAAGGCTCTTAGCTTATTGGTTCCTCTGGTTCCAGGAGTGTTTATCTGCATCATTAGTGGCTGTGCCTCTGGCCCAATGGGAGACTAAAGTATGCCCAGATTCAGAAAAAGAAAAAGGCAGCAAAACTGAGGCTGCAGTGGCCAGGGGGTCCTGAGCTCAGGACAGTGTACCGAGCACTTCCACTTGTGCCTGGATCTTTCTGGCAAGTGTCCCTGCTCCCCACCCCACAGGCTGCACAGCCCCACAGGCTCTCATCCTCTGGCCTGCCCTAGCTGTTGTTCATGTCAGAAATGAGCCGGTGTCACCCCCAAGAAGAAGCTCATTCAGTGCCAATGAGATTGGAGACAGGAAGCAAAGGGCTCATTTCGGAAGCAGCCCCGGGGGTGAGGCAAGATGGTAGCCGCAGAAAGATGTTCTCTGGCTCCCTTCAAGGCCGAGCTCCTGCCTGCCACCAGGAGCAGAAATGAGAGAGGTACCAGCCTGAGGCCACCCTCATCAAGGCCCTGTCCTTCAGGGATGCCTATCTAGGATACCGGCCAGCCATGTTCCAGCTTCTGAATGACTTTCCATTGAAAAATGACCACTTGTCTTACCAGCAGGAGAGGGAAGGAGCCAGTTTCTGAATTTACCTTCAGGGGGCCTGACCTCATCCTGACCAGCCCCTTCTGCCTCCGTAAGGGGTACCCCGACAGACACATCCCAAGCCAGCTTGGGTGCAGCCAGTGTTGGTGTGACTGGACTTAAGTAAGCCATGGTCTGTCTTCCTTCCTGAGTTCTTCTATGAGAGAGACAAAGGTCCCAAGACTGTGAATTTTCCTTTTGTGCAATTACTCTAAATCTCCCACCCCCTGATAAATAGTCCTCAAGTCTCATTATTGAATTTGTGTCCTGATAAACAACCAACTCACTTGAAACCATTTGCAACTGAGGAATTTGGTATTCCTAGCCTGCCAACAATCCCCCTCATGGTGTCAGAACCTTCCACTTCTTTTACAAACCTTATACTAGTTTGATTAATTGTCTCTTGCCCTTCTGTATCTTGTTCAGAAGGGCCCTGCCGGGAATCTGAATTTTTGAGCATACACACAGTGGGACTAGGGAACTCAATCCCATTTGTTAGACCAGAAAGCCTGGGGGCTGAGCGGTGCCTAGGCAGGGAGGTAAGGTTTTGAGTCTCTTGACTCTGTTGTCTTCTATTCCACCTCCACCTGCCCTGCGTGTTGGCCATCCTTCCCCTTTTTACCTCCTTCCCTGCACCTGGCACCCTGTGCCCTCTCACAAGCTCCATGGTCCCCATGCCCTCACCCCTCAGGGCTCTTCACTCGAAGACTGTGCTCAGACCCATCTTTGCTTGCAGTCCACCTCACCCTGGCCCTTGCTGTAGAACCTTCCTGAAGTCCTTGTGAAATTTTCCTAAACTTCAACGACTTCATTTGTGGGCATCGGGAGAGCCATCTGCAGTCTCTCACAGGTATTGGGGCGGCGATTTTTCTTCTCCCGGCTCATTGGGGTTCAGGTCCTCTGGTAGCCACAATACACAGCTCCCCTGCTTGCCCATAGGAGCCATTTTCCAGTTGTCCCATTAACTGAAATAAGTTGGCATTACGTACAATTGTGTACAGTGATGGTCCTCAGCATTAGCTCATTTGTTTGTGTATGCCATCTAAATAGTTTATTCTTATATATGGTCTAAGGGATATTAAAGTTTATAATTGCACAAGGACTTCATGAAGGTGTATTCTGAAATGACTTTGCCTCCCTTCCCCACTTACTTGCCTGTTTGGTGGTCCCTTCCTCAAGGTTTTGGTTTCCCTTAGGGAGTTACTAGCCAACTTAGTGGGCAATGCTGGTTAACTTTCATAATAACATATTTGCATTTACGCTCCTTCTAGAGAGTCCCCATACGTTGGAGGAAAGGGCTGAATCTAATGTCAAGTTCTTGGCAACAGCTTTTTTCTGTGGGCTCTGGCCCTGTAGACAGTGGCTTTTCCTTTCTAGACGTATCTTTCTTCAGCCTGAGATATGAGGCCGCCATTGCCTCTGCTGGTTCCAGAGGACGCAGGAAGCTAAACGTGTGAACTCTCAGGTGCCATGGCCAGCACCCTAACCAGTGTCCCTCCCAGCTGGCTCTGAGGCTTAGTCGCCTTTGCGTCTTGTTTTGCTCCCATCTTCCCCTTCCCTCAGTCATGTGATGCAGGAAGAGAGCGCAAATGATATGGAATGTGAGCAGCTGCCAGCAGAGACACTGCGACAAGTGACCATTCACCGAGACCCTATATATGGCTTTGGCTTCGTGGCTGGCAGTGAGCGGCCTGTGGTGGTGCGGTCTGTGAGGCCAGGTAGGTGTTCTTCAGAGTGTCCCCCTGGCCCTGGATCCTATCCCCCAGCACCCACTCATCTTCCCAAAGAACAGAGCTCCCCAGCTCACTGTTGTATTCCCCAGGAATTCACAAAGAGTGGGCAAAGGCTTGCCAACTAATAACCGTGTGAGGGAGCTGGGCTTTGAGAGTGATTGACGCAAGCCATGGAGGCTGTCTGGGGCCTAGACAGAGGCCACAGTTTATGGTTTAGTAGGGTAGGACCTCATTCTTAATAAAGCCTCCCTTTGCATAGAACCTTCGTAAAAGAGCCAGACTGCCTTTGGAGGAGAAATACCTATTCAAGTGAATTCAACAAGTATTTATAAATTGCCTACTCTAAGCGCAGCAAGACTATAGGGAAAGTATAGGACACAGTTCATGTCCCCAAGAATCTAGCCATCAGGCTGTGGAGACTGCTACACAGTCATGAAAAAGGTCAGCCCTTGAAGACTGGAATCAGGATACAGGCCATAGGTGGGAGAGGAGGGGAGAGGAGAGCGAAATCTCCAAATACCACAGTGGCAGTAACAGCAGCCACCATTGATTAAGAACCCATTTTGTGCCTTCATCATCTTGCTTAGTCCTCACAGCCAAGCCTGCAAGGTAAGTAGTCATTCCCATTTTGCAAATGAGGAAACTGAGGCATAGAGGAAAGGAAATGACCTGTCCAGGGGCACTCGCGGAGGAAACAGCAGAGTCAGGACTTGACCCTGGGCCTGTCTGATGCCACACGGGAGAAGCAGGGCTTGAATGGGACCATATGGGGCAGAACACGGGAAAGCCCCACCTGAACTGTGGAATCCTGCCATCATGAATGAGATGGGAAATGGCCCAAGCACTGTTTTGTCCCACATCTGCTAGGCATTGACAGAAAAGACAGACAGAAAAAAGCTTTATTCCTGGCTTGCTGGGCCTGAGGCTTTAGATGTTTACAACAGTTTCTCGCTCAGTCAAGAGGAGCAGCCGGAGTACAAACTGGTCTAGCAGAAATTTGATGAATTTTTCAATCCTCAAAGGAAAAGAAAAAGATTTTTGTAAGCTCCCTTTTCAACTAGAGGGCATAGAGAAAAAAATAAAAAATAAACAATTCAGTACAGGAGTTTGTGGCTGACCTAAGGCTCCCAAGTCAGTCATGCAGTTTGGTGGAAAGGCTTTTGAGTCTCTGATCAGAAATCAAATCTGTCCTGGGTAGGAGGAAT